AAGGAGTGCCAACATACGCACATAAATGGACTACTAAATCGTATAATTACAAAGATACAGTTCTTGCTACCGTCGCAACACAGAGTGAAGAATTTGAAACAAGTACGCGCCACCAAATTGTTCTCAGAAAGTCTTTCCGCCGGCACACAGCACGAACTTCAAATTGTATACGAAAATTACGAGCATGACTGCAATTAAGACGACTCGCAAAACCAAGCAAGCCAATTAATAATAATTTAGCAACTATTACATCTCAATTCCCTTGTTTAAAAAACGGTTCCGAGGGCCAAAAAAAGTGAAAGTCCTGACTACAAGCTGGAGGACTTCAGGAGCAGGTGGAAGTCCTCAATCCTTCCACGAAGAAGTTCTGATACTGGTGTCACGACTTAATTCCTATAATTCAGCCAGACAGGCTTGCAGCGCTGTAGGCAGAACGCCTTTTTATAATCCATTCGCGTCATTTGATTGGGCGAAACCTGAACTGTCACCGTCATAGTTTCACGTACGGTTTTTCTAAATTACAGTTCCTGCAATGAAGTGCCGTCAGATTCATAAAAAAAATCGACTTTACCAACATTCAAAACGTACTTATATAATAATGGCGCGTTGTAGGATTCGCAAGGGTTGGTACATAAGGAAGGCGTTTGTACTTTTCCTTCTTTCTTCCATAAAAAGGCAATTAAATGTGATATTAAACCAAATGAAAGGAACGAGAGACAGAAAAGGGGGAGGGTGGAACTAAGGCAGAACGACGTGAACTCAGAGTGAAGCTGATCTTGTCCTTAATTAACCACCGAGCTTAATTAAGCACTGCACAAGTGTGGGAAGTGGAGGTAGGCTACAGCTCGACGCATTCTTAACGCCGGCACTAGATGGGGACGAGTGGTCAGCGTCCGTTTTACACCAGGGAAGATCACCCAATATCCAATGGGCGCTGTCCCACACTGAGTGGCGAAGTACACAGTGTCCCTGCCCCTGCTTGAATACCTAGACAGTACCTATGCTGATTGAGCGGCTGATGAAGGAAACAGAATGGGGTTGCAGCTCCAACGACAAGCAGCAGCGATTACCTTCAAGTAACCTTCCTGGCGCGCGAAAGCGGGAAGCTAGTTTGCAACGCGCTGACTGCACGTACAATTTACGTAACCCAAGGACCACACGAAGTATCCCTGGAGCAACATGACAGTACATGCTGCATTGGGCTCCGAGATCCATCAAGTGAGGAACGGGCTATAATCGGGCTGGTCCAGACACCTGATGCATGAATTCGTGCTTTGTTAATGAAGGGTCTCCCAGTCAGGCTACGCAAATTTCTCACACAAAACGTAATGATCGTATTGGTGTTATATGTTTGGAGTACAGCGCTATACGGAAGCGAAACATGGTCGGTGTAAAAGCCAGAAAGAAGGAGGATAGAAGCTTTTGAAATGTGGTGCTACAGAAGGATATCGAGAATTAAGTGGACTGATAAAGTACGAAATGAGCAGGTCTTAGACAGGATAGGCGAAGGAAAAATCTTACGAGAAGAAGAGATAGGATGGTGGGGCACATTCTGAGGCACCCACGATTGGTTAATTTGGTAATGGAAGGGAAGAATTGTAGGGGGGAGACAAAGATTGGAATATGTGACGCAGATTTTTGAGGATGTGAGCTGTAAAAAACATGTGGAAATGAAGAGATTGGCGCAAGATAGGCGAAAATGGAGGACCGCATCAAACCAGTCGAAAGACTGATGACAAACAAACAAGACAACTTACTACACCCATTAATCACTGAATGGGCATCTGCAGGACATCATTATAAACTCCTAACAAACGTGCGATTCCCACATAAATTTCAGGATTGTTACCGGGTCGCAGAAAAAAACAGCAAACATCTCTAAACAGAAGTTCATCGCAGTGAAGGTTTATTTGCCAACTCCCTAGCGCCCCCAATTCCTGGCATGCCATGGATTCTACTTTGCAGTTGTACGTCGATCGCATACAAAATGAGTGACAAGACCAAAAGAATGTGACAAAGTCCGGGACAGCACCAAAACAAACAAACAAAAAACGCCACAGAGAAATGGAATGCGTCAAACGACAGCTGACTGCCTGCAATCAGTTGTCCACAAACGCCAGCCAACATTGTCTTGACAACAGCTGACCGTTGCAACATAAAAAACCACAGCGCGGGACTCCTCTCAAACAGCAAAACGTCGGCGGGGAACAAATGCTATTATTTTTGTCAATTCCATATCAAAAGTGTGGAAACTTTCACTCTACAATGAATGCCAGGATCTACGGTTCACACACGCAATGATCTTGCTGTCCCATTATTCTGCGCACAGTTTTTAAAACGTGCGTTATAGTAATGGCAGGCAGGTACTCCAATTTCAGATACGAGGTAGTTTTGTTACAACGCGTATTATTATTATTATAATTACGCAGTTTAAATACAACACGACAACGCTGTCAGAATATCGCTAGTGGGTCAGAGATGTCTTCCGCGCTCTTCTTACGTCTAGTCGAATTCCAGCTGTATACCTTCAACCACGTCGTGAGCGCCTCACCATTCACCAAAACCTTCCCTTCTAACAATCTACGCACTCCAGAGGTCGAACAGGCTCACACATTCATTCAGCCGATAAATTAATCGCTTCAAGTCTATAATTAAACTGTCGCAACACGTCCATAATTAAGTATAATTTCAATAATTGAGAACTTTTAATTGATGAGACGCGAGAAGGGGCATCTTTAACTGATCTTCACCAATACAACGCAAGACGCGCGAGTGCTTTTAGGCGAGACAATTTCGTACGTGGCACGAGAAGACTGCGCGTAATAAGGTCACGTGCCGCTCTTTAAGATCATCCCTACTTCCCTCTGTATCAGCTGACATGTCACAGTTTTGCCTACCACAACTCATGCCATTACTCACCCAAATCCCATTCGAAGAGAAATCAATAAAATTCCGTCCTCAACTTCAAAAGAATAGAGAAGCTGAAAAAGAAGTTTTGTGGCGCGGAGAATCAGGAAGCAATTGGGGGGAGGGGGACTGCTCTGTCGCCGACTAGTGGTGTAGCTGTCGTGGGATGAGAATGCAGGGTTACAAAACGGTAGGAGGAAAAATAAATGTAGGTCATGGGCTAGTGATTCCCCTTCTCCAGGCGCAGGCAGACAAGTCTGCCAATAACGAGGAACAGTTTCCCTGTCTCCACACTTCATTACGTAACCGCCCGCGCTTAATTGCATCTGATACATTCTCAGGAAGGGTCATCGCTCTGCGACGACACTGCGCGGCAGGCAGACTTTTCCACGGTGCAGGGAAACACGCCGGTCAAGCACCGCGCTCAGAACTATGGCTCACCTCCACAAAGACATCTCTTCATATCTGGACGCGGTAAATTGATAGCTATTTTGCCAATCAATTCCCTGCGGTTATTTAACCCAAACCTGCGTCACCTGATTCTTTACGTTTTATTCAAACTGTCAGCAGCTCAGACAATACAGCATCGAATGACAGGATGTATAATGAATTGAAAAAAAAAATATGAAAGGAAGCGGTCGTGACCTAATTTAATGTACTATTATCCCAGTATTTGTTTGAAAGGATTGAGCGAAGTGACGGGCCATACTGTCTCCGAGAAGATCTGAACCCGGGACCTTGCATAGAAAAAGCAGTAGTGCAGAGACTGGATATGCTTTACACAGTCCGTGTACCGAAGTAACGTCATCAATTGTATAATTAACTGAAACATGATAGTCCATCCTACACTGGAATATCAGATGTCGCGAATAACTAATTTATTCATTTAAATAGCTTAAGAACAAAGATGTTCTCACAACACTCCCCGATTTGCATTGAATATTCTAGGGAATAGGCAACCCTCGAATAGGCCACGGCTCATTGCCTGCACCTCCCTTCTTTTTAACTGCTAACTCAAAGCAAAATATCAATCACAAGGTAACAGACCAGCTGCGACACTTCAGTGCCAACATCTTGTCGATTTGTTGCGTTATTGTGGATAAGTAGGAAAGGACGTGGAAGAAAGTGTAAAATCTCAACAACGGCTTTCAGTGCGTCCTCAGAGAAACCACAAGGTTACGAACAGTCTCTCTTTGGGCCTAGATTCGAACCCTGAACACGCAGGAGGAGCAGTTAACCACTCAAACTTAACGGTCTCAGCAGTTGCCAAGACGTCATTAAATAAGCTACGAGAAACAGCAGCAACGTCAATCAGGGCGCTCTCCGATTCTACAAAATGTCCTGCGCTGAGAATCGCGAACTAAGAAAGAAGCCTGGCGGTTTTTCCCGGTTTCCTGGTCGAGCTTACGTCATGTCTCAACGTGGCCTGCTTACATAATCGCGCCAAGGCCTCCCCGTGTTGGTGTTCACCTTGGAATCAGCTGCAACCGTGAGAATCCGTAGCCTACACTCTACTCTGGTGATAAATCACAACGCTGATGGGCTAGGGATATTCACCCGAATGATCCGGAACAACAAATAGGTCAAGACGACAGTCTTCTAGAATGTTGCGCCCTGTAGTCTGGTAGAAATTAACCGACGTTTCCGAGGTGCTTACTGCTTCCATCAATAGGGCGGTCTCCCCGTTAATCTCCTGCTTACTTTTCATTCTTACGCCATGTTTAAATGACCCCACACATGGAAGTCTATCAGAGTTAGGTCCGGTGACCATTCTTGTCAATTCTGCAATCACCACGCCCAATCCATCTGTTGAGGAACTGCTCATTCAGGCACTCTGCTTAAACGTGGGGATACCACATTACGCTGGAAGTACACCTGTGAATGTTGAAATTCTATCAACAGCTCCATAACCGTTGAAAATCTGACCCACGTTCATGACATTTTTGACTGGAAACGGCCTCAGTAGTAAGATCTTCAAGTACTGACATTAAGTCAGCTGACACCTTGCTCGTGGCTCTTAACATGACATTCTTAGAGAGGACGTAAGCATTTATGCCTCAAATATGAATGTAACGAATAATTCAACAACTCACCAACTGCAGGGGACATGGAGCGAGAGCCTGTGGATCCTGTAGGTGATGGGGTCGGCCTCATCCCCTGGGAATTGGGTGTTCCCGGTGCCGGCCCACTGGAGCTGTCATTGCTGTTCTGCCCTGTCAGATCCTGCAAAAAAGCATGACACTAACATCAACAGAAGCACTCTACTGCACGAAATGGTCGAAATAACAGCTACATTATTTAAACATGAACACTACTTAACACCCTACGTCCTTGTAAGTCACCATATCATAACCCATGTAATCCACATAACCGAAAGTATGTCAAAGTATGAAGAAATTCAGGGGGTAGTTGGAACACCGTCATAATTTTGCACTATGCCCCACAAGTAGTTTGAGTTTTAATCTGATCGTTTAACATGTGCACTGTTCTAGTACGCTACATTTTTACCAAAGGATTAATTACAAGACAAAAATAAATAATTCGGATTACATATTTACACAAAGCACGGGTTGTATCCCGCAAGAAACAACAATTAAATTCCCCAAACAATTTTACGAAAATCCACTGGAAAGTTATTGAGAAGAAACACGAGGGCAGACATGTCATATCTTTGAACACAACACATCTACAGCGCGTAAAGTACCTTACAAACGTCGTAAGTGAATCACGAACAGAGTATTCATGTAGGTCAGTCAAGTTTGTGCTTTGAGGTATCACGCCCCGAGCGCGTTCAAGAACTTCTGCAGTTTTAGAACTGAAGCATCACCAGGACAAAGTCTTGTGCTGTGGATGCCAAGGTTGCCTGGTAACAGAAATTAAACAGAACACCCATTGTTCATCCCCCAGGCGAAAACTTGCAACTTATGTCTAAATATCAAGAAGTGTCAGGTCGAATCGGCGAGAACTTCGACACAAAAGGAAATATGATGTTTGAGCCTAAGGGAGAGAAAGTGGGAGGAACTTCATAGCACAAAACTATTCGCGTAATATCATTTGGGTTATTAAATCAAAGAGGATGAGATGAACTGGGAATGCAGCACACATGGGATATAAAAATGCACAAAGAATATTGGTCGGAAGCACTCAAGGAAAGACGGAAGACGTAAACTTAAAACGCAGTTCAAATGGAGTAGTTTACAAAGTAAAAAATAATTTATTTTACCAAAGACATTTAAAGCACATAGCAGTAAGGTGACCTCCAATGGCATGCACAGGTTATGACGCTCTCGAATAATGAACTGGAAAGAACGCGGTCTCTTTAATGAGAGACTATCCTCGGAAGAAGGTAACAATAAAATAATATTGCAGGCTAGCCGGCCCTCAGCTAAAAGCCGCATGTTGAAACAGAGTTGGTGGCCACGTGTTACTCCTCTCTCTTCGGGCAAACGGTCCAATACGACGAGTAAAAAAATCTTACCGGCCGTCAGGGATTGTCGCATCCTACTGACAGTGAGATTGCCAACGTGGTGGGTATGTGGATAATTGTAAGCCCTGCGAAAACACTCCAGGATACTGCAACGTACGCCACTCGGACGGTCTACATTGTGACGGGCACATAATCCGATCATACCGCAACACGTCTGTCACAACAGCTGACAAGACTGCTGGGTTGGCTATTCGATTGGTTTTCCCCATAGAGATGGAGAGACATCCATCGTAACGAACTTGACAAGTGGAGGGTAAGATGTGCCCCTCCAGCCCCACGACCGACACGTCACGGTTCATCAAACTGAAATAAATGTGCTCTGCTTCTACCATAAATTGTTAATCCGGCGATTCGTAACACGTGGCTCGCATGTTCTGAGGCAACCGATGCCATGAGACACGTCGTCGAAGGCCGATTCTTAGGTTATGTAACGGGGGCATTTCAACAGAAAAAGTTGACGCATATAATCAAACGGGGATGGCCATGCATTAACATTTGAAAGGACATTCAGTGGGAATATGGAATGAGATATCCCCCCCCCTCTTCAAACACTTTCCATTTAAATGTACTTTCTCGGACATTCCTAGACAAACCAGCCAGTGGTGTGACCAGATTTGAACATCACTGGTTCTATTCTTCGCTACCATGCAATTCCTTCGTCAGGGGTAGAACGCACATATTTGCCGAGGTTTACAGACGCGGTGCTATGGACCGATAGAGCTTCACAGACTCAGGATTAACTGAATAGCTTGGAATCGGTAACCACTTGTTTTTTTGTCTGCTCAAAATACAAATATACGATTAATTTAAACGTTTAAAAATTAAATTCCTCGAACCTAGGATGTAACTTCTGTGCAATTGTGTTTACTAACATGTTTACCAATAAGTATAGGGCTACTGTTCACATTTTCATCTGCTAACATTTCTCAGCCGTGAAAAAATATCAATGAAAATAATATGAAACTTAAGTCCAACATAAAAATACCACCTTTCTTGGCATAAATATTATTTAATTTCTGGCATATGCCCCATAAAAAATGAGCCACTGAAGCTAGGCGTGTAAAAATATTGTACGGAGATCAAACACATACAAACTGTTCATAAATATTATTAATTAGACATATTTTATGCAAACAGAAGTTCTTCTAAAAGTAGAACAACAGCAGACCCCAAGAACTGCAATAAATGTCAGAATATAGTTCACAGTTCAACACACCAAGGCCGATCGTAGCTATCTCCGCCCATTTCTATTTTCACAAAACTATTTTTTTCAATATCTACCTTGCTGTTATATTCTTCTCGGTTTTCCAAGTGGCCCTTTCCCAAGAGATAATTCTACACACAATCTTCGTCTCCTCCATCATAATTATATGTCCTACTCAACCAAACAATAGTTTTCACTATCGCTTCACAACACTACGTGACCTTCATAACCCATTAAGTTCCTCGTTATGTAATAGGCTATACTATATCGTCCACTTCACTTCTCCCAAAGACTATGGTTTCCATACACTTTAACATCTTTCTTCAGGATAGGTTCTAATTAGAATAAAAACTTTCACAAATTAGATTACAATAAATCTAATCCAGACATGGGGCAAAAATGTAAATATACAAATGGCCGAAATATTTTAAAATATATGGCACCTATTAGCATTATTACGTTCAGTGTAAGTACCGCAGCAGAATTTAATTTTGCAATGAAATGCCCTAATGCGTTTTTAAAACAGGATGACACTCATCATCTGAAGGTCTAAAATCCACTCAAGTATTGCACATACATTAGAATACTCAAGTCACAAAATTCTAATGCACCACAAACCCTCAACGAACTAACTTTTCTGAACATGAATGGACTCTCATATTCCTGCTAAACCGTACAAATAAACAGTGAAATGTTAGTTAAAAGGAGCGTCTGATGCACATTCCCCCGGTCGCTGAACCTGACTGTCGTCTCATAACCATAATACAGCACGTGGACATCACACCCACACATACTCAGCTGATCCTCGATAATAAACAATAATAAAACGAAACCCTGAAGCTACCTCAAAATAACTGTGTGAAACAACAGCACGTAGTTCCTACCAATTCCACGTGATGTCGCTAGTGACCTCGACTATTAGGGCCCTGCCACAGGAATCACTTCTCCTTCCCTCTTCACCCCGCGACACCCGATGCACATGTAAAAACTGTTCGTCTTGATAGTCAGTCGAGCCACTCATTTCACAATCAGCTGATTGCGAGGGAAGTTTTGAATTAGTCAGGCACGTGGCATTTATGAAATGTCGCGTTTCCGACTAAATTACATGGGGTTTAGGGCTCGAAAACGTTTCTTATCAACAGGAAAGGTCACAAGACGGGTTGTTTGTTACACATTTTTCACACTAAAAACCAACGTGACACGATGGTATTAACAAGCAAAACTTAGAGCTAAAACCCACCTAATGCCACGTATGCACATCGAAGCCTCTTCACCAGCGTCTACGATGCATTTTCTCCATATATCGACCCACAGACGACGTCAATGCTTCTCGACGAACGTAGACTCCTATTCCATACCCAGGCCAACCTAATCGCTCAACTGGCTTCTTCTACCGACCAAACATATCTGCCGGGTGCTTCGTCGTTCTATGCGGGCGGTCAAATCCAATTTGTATAATAAAATTACAGCGTCGTCAAAATGAAAATGCCATGTTTGGTTAATGGTTCGTCCCTGCTAACAACTGCGCATCCAGGCAAGACTAGTCCGTCACTCAGTGGAAATGTACTGAACAAGTCACGTAGATTACCTGTAACTCACGGTGCCATGGACGTGGTGTACAAATATTCCACGCTGGTCTCAACTTTCCTGGCTGTAGGACGCGCCATGCAAGCTAGCTAGCCCGACCACGGCCCCATATGTGCCCAGCGTGCAAGAGAGGGAACGGCGCAAATATCAGGGGCTCGGGAACCTTCGGCTGTGCCTCGTACGGCCGACCTTGCAACAACATGGAACAGGGCAGCTACTAACGAAAGCAAAACCATTTTGCGAACTGAACCGTCTTCTGTATCGTAAGAGAAAAAATATGTTGCATATGCTGTGTATAGTAATAATGTATTTTATAAACATTGCTACATCGATTGCAGTCCGAAATATTCTGTAATTAGACTTCGAGACAAAACATTTATTAAACAGTGCTGAATAATCTTCAGCTTTCTAAGAGATCGTCTGCACGTTTGGCTTTTGCTAGGCATTTAAAATGCATCAAACAAAATATAGTTGGGATACATTACAATCCTAAAATATCTGTACCTGAAAATAGCAATAAATTCGAACAGGTAATTTCAACATTCCTTCGAAACAGAATAATGTAGCGGTAAAAACTCAGATTTCGTTTTGGGAGGTACCACGTTTGAATCTAGGCCAGGTTACCAGTATGAAGAAATTAAGGTTTTCCTCAGTCACTAAAAGCTAATTCCGAAGCGATGCCTTCAAATATGCTACGACCACATTCCGAGTGTCATTAAATAGCTTAAAAACATACATTCATTTCCTGCTTAAATATAAAAAATAACAAACCAACTTCAGACACCATGTACAAAAAACACTAGCACGATAGCAATCCAAACACTTAACTGACCAGTTTCGTGTTGTACTTAAAAGTAATGCACTTTCTATTGTAAAACTGTTTCATGTCTGAGATCAGAGAGACCCACAATCTATCAGCTGTTCAAACTAACCATTCGCACCTTT